GTGAGGGTTTAGGGTTTAGGGTTTAGGGTTTAGGGTTTAGGGTTTGATGAGGGTTTAGGGTTTGGGGTTTAGGGTTTGGGGTTTAGGGTTTGGGGTTTAGGGTTTAGGGTTTGGGGTTGAGGGATTCTATTTTAATTAAAATAGAACAACAAGCTGCTCCTTTTCTAGCTAATACAGAAGTGAGGGTTTAGGGTTTAGGGTTTAGGGTTTGGGGTTTAGGGTTTAGGGTTTGATGAGGGTTTAGGGTTTAGGGTTTGGGGTTTAGGGTTTGGGGTTGAGGGATTCTATTTTAATTAAAATAGAACAACAAGCTGCTCCTTTTCTTGCTAATACAGAAGTGAGGGTTTAGGGTTTAGGGTTTAGGGTTTAGGGTTTAGGGTTTGATGAGGGTTTAGGGTTTGGGGTTTGGGGTTTAGGGTTTGGGGTTGAGGGATTCTATTTTAATTAAAATAGAACAAGAAGCTGCTCCTTTTCTAGCTAATACAGAAGTAAGGGTTTAGGGTTTAGGGTTTAGGGTTTAGGGTTTGATGAGGGTTTAGGGTTTAGGGTTTAGGGTTTAGGGTTTGGGGTTGAGGGATTCTTTCTTAAATAAAATAGAACAACAAGCTGCTCCTTTTCTAGCTAATACTGAAGTGAGGGTTTAGGGTTTAGGGTTTAGGGTTTAGGGTTTAGGGTTTGATGAGGGTTTAGGGTTTGGGGTTTGGGGTTTAGGGTTTGGGGTTGAGGGATTCTATTTTAATTAAAATAGAACAAGAAGCTGCTCCTTTTCTAGCTAATACAGAAGTGAGGGTTTAGGGTTTAGGGTTTAGGGTTTGGGGTTTAGGGTTTAGGGTTTAACTTTTAGGGTTTAGGGTTTTGATGGGTGTTTGTTCTCTGCATTATATTTATATTGTTTAGGGTTTAGGGTTTAGGGTTTATATTTTAAGTGTACAAAACCCTAGCTCAGAGCCCATACGCCCTCCCCCATAAACCCCAAACCCTAAACCCTAAACCCTAAACCCTAAACCCTAAACCCTTTTTTTTTTTTTGTGGTTTAGGTGAAACAAAAGCTCGAGGGTTTACACCGCTTGTTTGACCTGCTGAGGGTTACAGAAGATATAAGAGATCACGTCAACGAAATCATAGAAATACAAAGCAGAAAAGCTGGTAAACCCTAAACCCTAAACCCTAAACCCTAAACCCTAAACCCTAGAAATATAAACCCTAGAAATATAAACCCTAAACCCTAGAAATATAAACCCTAAACCGTAAAAGTATAAACCCTAAAAGAGACCACGTCAACGAAATCATTGAAATACAAAGCAGAACCGCCGGTAAACCCTAAACCCTAAACCCTAAAATTCTAAACACTAAACCCTAAACCCTAAACCCTAAACCCTAAAACCCTATAAGGAATTATAGAAATACGAAGCAGAGGCGCAGGAAAACCCTAAACCCTAAACCCTAAACACTAAACCCTAGCCCGCAATATGAATACTAACCCTAAACCCTTAAAACCCTAAACCCTAGACCCTAAGCCCTTTTTAAATCGAGTATAAACCCTAAACCCTAAACCCTAAACCCTAGATGTTATGTATGTGTGTGTTTATGTTTAGGGTTGGGTGGTACTGGTATTGGGGCTTGTGAGGGTTTAGAGAATATAGAAATGCATGCAGCAGCAGCAGCAGCAGCATATGAAACCCTAATGAAGGGTTTTGTTGAGTATGCGGCGAAGACAGAGGAGGGTTTAGGGTTTGGGTTGGCTTTTCTTAGGCAAAAAGAAATATTTACAATGTATAACCAACACAGATTCTTCTTCTAGATAGTTCTCCTCCTGCTGCTGCTGCTGCTGCTGCTGCTGCTGCTGCTGCTGCTGCTGCTGCTGCTGCTGGTGATGGGGATGGTGGTGATGGTGGTGGCGGTGGTGGTGCTGCTGCTGCAAGCACAGCAGCAGCTGCAACAGCAGCAGCAACACAACTTGCAGCTGCTGCTGCTGCAGCAGAAACAGCAACAGCATCTGGTGCTGCTGCAGCAGCAACAGCAGCAGCAGCAACAGCAGCAGCAGCAACAGCAGCAGTCTTCCTGCAGCCAAAGAAGAGGCCCTGGTTTAGTGTGTCTTTAGGGCCCCCTCCTCCTCTTTCTTTTTCTTTTTTTTCTTTTTCTTTTTTTCTCTTTTTCATTTCTCTTTATTTATTTCTTTCTTTTGTTTCTTTAACTAAAAACTAACAAAACAAATACACCACCCCTTGGGGGCCCCCTCCCTTTCAAACCTCTACAGGGCCCCCCTGGGGGCCCCCCTCCTGGGGGCCCCCCTGTGCAGGGGCCCCCCTGTGCAGGGGCCCCCCTGGGGGCCCCCCTGTGCAGGGGCCCCCCTGGGGGCCCCCTTGTGCAGGGGCCCCCCTGGGGGCCCCCACTTGTAGGGGCCCCCTGGGGGGCCCCTTCGTTGCTAGGGGCCCCCGGGGGCCCCCCTCTGTAGGACCCCCCCTACTAAGCATTGTTCTTATTTAACTATGGGGGGCCCCTGGGGTTTATTGGGGGCCCCCTTGAGTTTTGTAAGAATACATACATAGGGGGGCCCCTCTTGCTGTAAACCCTAAACCCTAAACCCTAATTTTAGTTTAAAATACAGCAGGGGCCCCTTGCTGCTCTGCACCGCTCTTATGATGGGGGGCCCCCCGGGGGCCCCTCGGGGGCCCCTGGGGGGCCCCCAACAAAAAAAGAGATATAAGGGTTTAGTGGTTGCTGCTGTTGTTGCTGCTGTTGACGCTACTAAAAAAAATACACAAACCCTAAACCCTAAACCCTCGGGCTCAGCTGCCTCAGTCTAGCTAAACCCTAAACCCTAACCCAAACCCTAAAACCCTAAACCCTAGCAATAAATCCTAACCCCTAAACCCTTACCCTAAATTCTATCCCTAAACCCTAACCCTAAACCCTAAACTCTAAACCCTAAACTCTAAACCCTAAACCCTAAACCCTCGCAGTACCCGTGCTGCTACTTTTTCAAAACACTTCTCTCAGCTGTCTTTCCGTCTAGATAAACAGACAGCAGAGAAACCCTTTAGGTTTCTCCTTTATGAGGGGGGCCCCCCTGACGGGGCCCCCATGGGGGGGGGCCCCCACACGGCAACCCCTACAGGGGGCCCCCCTGACGGGGGCCCCCATGGGGGGGCCCCCCCTGACGGGGCCCCCATGGGGGGCCCCCCTGACGGGGCCCCCATGGGGGGCCCCCCTGGCGGGGGCCCCCTTCGGGGGGGCCCCTCTTGCAGGCAACTAAGAAAACAATGAGGGGGGCCCCTACGAGTACTGTTTGTAGTTGGGGGGCCCCTGACATTGGGGGCCCCCTACCTGTACCCTGGGGGCCCCCTAGGGGGGCCCCTCAGTGATGTTTTGCTGCTTCAATAGGGGGGCCTCGCTGCTGTCTTGGGGGCCCCTAAAAAGAGGAGGGGGGGGGCCCCCTAGGGGCCCCCAAGGCGGGTTACACGCACCCTGATGAGAACACAACAGCAGCAGCAACAAATACACAGAAATTTAAATAATGTTGACGCGGAGACAGCAGCAGCAGCAGCAAAAGCAGCAGCAGAAGCAGCAACAGCAGCAGCAGCAGCAGCAGCAGTAGCAGAAGCAGCAGCAGCAGAAAGCAGTAGCAGCAGCAGCAGCAGTAGCAGCAGCAGCAGTAGTAGCAGCAGCAGTTACATGCAGCATCAGCTGTATACGCAGCTATCACTGCAGCAGCAGCAGCGGCTGCAAAAAGCAGCAGCAGCAGCAGCAGCAGCAGCAGCAGCACCTAGTGAGCATCAGCTGCAGCAACAGCAAGAGCAGGAACAGCAACAACATCAAGAGAAACAGCAGCAACAGCAGCAACAGCAGCAGCAACGGCAGCAGCAGCAGCAACAGCAAGAGCAGCAGCAACAGCAACAGCAGCAGCAGCAGCAGCAGCAGCAGCAGCTGCAGCAGCAAACCTCAATTTGTGCGCGTAAGAATTCGAGTTTGTCTTTGAGTTCCTGTGTGTCTCCGATAGACTCCAGGGTTTTTTGTTTTTTATTTATTTTTTTTTTATTTATTTTTTTTTGTTTTATTTTTTCTTCTTTATGGGGGCAGCTCAGCAGCAGCAGCTGCTGCAGCAGCAGCACCATCTCCTTCGCAGTAGCTCGAACGCTCTCTCGGGCTGCTGCTGCTGCTGCTGCTGCTGCTGCTGCTGCTGCAGGT